TGAGGAAGAAGACCGATAGGTCTAATTCCTCAGACCAAGAGCCTCTTCACCACGCCAAGGAGCCCCCCTTGAAGAGGTATTAATAACATAGAAACCCGATATATACACAAGAATGAATGAAATATTACGTGTGTGAGTAGTGTTAGTGGAGGCGGAGGCACAATGGCCATTGTTGTGGTGTATAGAGCCACCACGGCGGTCATTCCTGCTCCTGACATACCTTCTCATGCTTTTATTATAACAGAAAACAGTGTTTGTAAGGCAAACTCCATTAGATCACTATGTACCTAGTTTTGTAAAGAAATTATGTATTTACCCTGGAGAAGAGATGCTGGGCACAACGGCGTATGCTGTCAGGAGTTCATTTTTTGTCCTTTTTCAGAATGTTTCGGAAATGACTTATGCAAGCATCATTATATAGCTCCAATGCATGACCACTTGAAACTTTCTCTGGGTGATACACTCTTAATCCTATGTACACTTAATTGCTACACTCTTAATGATGCATTTTGTCACTTAACTGCTTTAAGTTAAGTCACACTTTCATCTGTAGGGCGTTTTAATAAAAAACTGTCCATGTTTATCAATGATTTCCTGCTTTAAATCCATGGTAATCATACTCTTCTTCTCAGCACTCTGCTGTGAACTTGCTTTCTTAGGACCCATGGTTAGAAACAAAAAATTGTGAAATAACTGCACGAAATGTAAGGAAAACGTGAGAATTCCTTCACCAGCGAGGTAAGCTCCGTGAACTGCTGAGCTTTGTTATGATACGAACTTCCATCTTGTGGTGGCATGCTCATGCTAACTTGTTATACGTAGTACATACATATTATAGAAAGTAAGTTTATTCAGGTATATACACAAATACGTACATTTACATAGATTATCATACATAGCAGCATGTGTAGAGAACCTAGGATAACTCAAAAAAGTCAGTGACTTATTTCCTATGGGGTATTATGTATTATTATACAGTAATATTATTATTATACATATTATTTTTATTATTATTATTAATTAGTACATATGTATTCTTATAATAATACTCTCTCTTACCATTTTGAATTTTTATTCACACAAAGCAGCGCTGTATAGCCCTTGTGGCTTAGCGCTTCTTTTTTAATATAATAATAATAATATTCACACAAAAAAATAGAAGATTTACTTTTGTATAAATAATGTTAACCCATTCATGACTGCATATTAGACTGGCCAGTTGGACACATTTGTTTACTCTGGAACTGTGGCAAAAAATCAAACATTACCGCTACTTTGAGCTCAATTTCAAGGTACTTTTCGTTGTGAAAGCAATCAAAATCATATCTATTTCTGTAATATATCTTCCATTCTATCAAATGAGACCAAAAAACGAGAATACAACCATAAAAACCATACCGCTAAGTGGAGGCTAATGACTGAGAAGTGAACTCCATTATTTATGGTCCGATTTCTTTCAATTTTGGTGTACGTTAGGAAATATCTTTCCATCATACATTGCCCAAGTTTCAATAAGATAGTCCAACAAACAAATGAGATCCAGTTCCCTAGAGCAAGAGCCCCTCACCGGCGTCAAGGACCCGCTCACATCTGGAAATTTCCCTTGCGCCTGGAAGCAAAAAAATCGACCGATCAACTGCTCGTATCTGGAAAAACTTGCACTTGGATGCACTCGTTAGAAGAGGTTCCACTGTATTAAACCCATAGGGGTCATACAGTGCCTAGGGGATTGGGTAGCAATCAATCCAAGAAAAGGGAGGCTAGGCCAGATTCCTTGGATCAAGAGACCCAATTGGAATGGGGAGTTCTGTATTAATATTGTGCACATATATTCGTGGTCAATAAAATAACAAATAAATCTGCACAAAGATTTATGTTTTTATTGCTACAAACATAAGATCACTCATCCAAATAAGTGTTTTGCAGCTCATGGTTATGCAGTTAACATGTATATTTTGACTGGAAACCAAATATTTTTTTACATATGCATATAAAAAAGCACTATGATATACAAGCAAGTCTGTTTTTTTTTGTGCATGCTTGTTTAATATATCCTTTAAATCTGTACTGCTATAAAGTTTACAGCAACTTATTGGAAGCAATACAATACCAATATATTTACTGTGTTCCAAGCTTAGACAAATTCTATAGTGATAGCTGTGTTGGGAAAAGGTCTCTGTATGTACATAAAAAATGTATTGAGTTTAAGCATAATACTGGTTTCTGGTGCCTCTAAGTAAGAGGCTTCCATACACAGCTTGGAATGAGTATTTGAGGCTTATAAAGAATTTTTTAAGACATCAAGAGCATTTCCATTATTTACACGTATGTGATGAACCATTCTTGAAATGCTAAAAAAAAAAAAAAAAAAAAAAAAAAAAAAATTATAACTAGACTTTTCCAGTTGAAAGTCATGGAAAACTGCTTAATAACTAATTAGGAATACCTAATGCACACAGTTTACAAGGAACTGTTATGCACAAAGTACAAGTGATGGATGCACATCAAAACTTATACATCATATATTTCACAGCCTAAAATCAATTAGTGTATAAATATACAAGAACAATGTGACCATGTGTACTTTTGCTTAAATAACAGCAAAACTCCAAACAAAGTTCATTTTCCCACTTTTTGACCCATAGCTCATTTTACAGTATATATTAAAATTTTTTGCTCTTCAGTGAATAGACAACTTATTAGAACAATACCCCTCAAGGAAGGCTCCTTGACGCTGGTGAGGGGCTCTTGATCTAGGGAATTGGATCTGTGCTCCAGTTCCCTGAATTAAGCCTGAATGCCTTCCATCCCCCCATAGGCGCTGTATAATCCTACGGGTTTAGTGCTTCCCCCTTGATTATAATAATAATTAGAACAATAAATTTGATCAAATATTCTGATTTACTAACAATGCATTTAAGATACTCCACCAAAAGTCAAATGGTCATATATGTTCAAGATTATTATTCCAACTACTGTACTGTAAAGCAATAGCTTCAGTGCGTACACAAGCTGATTGTATCCTGATTGGTACTCAAAAGTTACCATGCTCAAATATTTTTACTGTGGTTTTAATATTTGGAAGTTGTCAGTTCAGACATATTTACTAGAAAATTAGATATTGGTAGGAAGTTGTGTATACTGACGACGACTTCTTGTGGTAATGGATATGGCATTTTTGGTCACCAGAAATGAGCAAACGTACAAGAAAATGGAGCAAATAGTATGGAAAGAGTGATCACTATGTGCTGAAAATAATGAACAAATATAAAAAGGTCAGTGGAGTGACTGAGATTTGAATTTGCTATTTGGCTGGCAATTCTGAAACAGACTGCAGATTTGCATTCCAATCACTCCACTGAATTCATTACTATGTATGAGGTCAACTATAATATGTGGCAGCTGTACTGACAACTGCACTCTTCCCTTCTGAGAACATTTATTTGGTTTAGTCTAAATGCCCAGGAGCATATCAAATATGTATAAGCTTAGTCTATTGTTGCAGTATTTCAACACAATGTATTTTCCCTCACAATTACTCCCCAAGGGGCTCTTGATCCAAGGAACTGGATTTATCTTCCCCTTCCTTAAATCGAACCTGAATGCCTCCCATTCCCCAGGGACAGGATAACCCCTATGGGTTTATAGCACTTTCCCCTGAACAAAATCCTTGTAAAATTAGTTCAGCACTTAAAATATATTTATATTTTGAAAATTAATGTATTTACCCTTATGTGTATTACACATGTATATATAAAAGAGCAAGGCCTATTCATAATACTATTATAGATATGTCTATATATATGAATAAAAAAAATTTAGTGCCATACTTTAAGATACCTAAAGTTAATTTCAAACAAATTACCTTACATGATATTTGCACATCTTCCACAAAAGAACCCTGATGAAAATATCCTTCCTATACTAAATTAAAATGTACATAACTACATCATTTTTTATAACATATGCTGAAGCAAATACATACTGGGTATTTATAAAGTTGTTTGTCTGCACTGTAATAAGAAATAAATATTATTTCCTTGAAGATTTAAAATGCTACTTTGGCTTTACCAAATGCCAGTGAGGATATAATGGTACAAAAATTTGGAAGCAGCCTTTACACACATGAAAGTCATCAAGACAGTAAATTAAAATATTTGTATTTGTGTGCAATTGCAGCAAACAGCAGCCACACCCAAACGATCTTGTAAACATGAGCAAAGGCAGCAGCACTGGACTACCAAACACTATACTCTTTCATGCTTCCTACAACTTATGTGTACTCTCACTAATATTCAAATTATATATTTTCAAATTTAAAAATCACTGACCTTACAAGTTTTCAACATTGTTTTACAGTATTACAGATCATTGAATATTGGTGAGAGTAATAAGATGTACTTTTCTATGCTGATCTATTTCCAATATCTAGATTATATCTCTCCCTCTGTTGGGAATGACTAGGCAGGGTAAGAATTTTTTATTATTCTCAAATCCAAAGTAAAAAAAAAAAAAATGCTGAATTATACCATTTGGAAAAATCATGAACCAGGAAAAAAAATATTCAAATATGCCCTTCGGAAATAATGATACATGCTTTAAGTAGCACTAACCATTATTATTGTTATTATAATCAAAAAGAGGCACTAACCATTCATATAAAAAAAAAATATGAGCAACAACCTGTCAGCTTTATGAAAAATAATTCAGCAATTATTAATATTGTGATGAATGGTTTGAAAAACCGACAAGTTGAAGATTGAGACACTTATGCAGCATATGGGAATCTTTATTCAGGAAACGTTTCGCCACACAGTGGCTTCATCAGTCCAATACAAAGAGGAAGGCGTAAGGAGAGGAGGAGAATGAGGTAATCAGTCCCTCAACCTGGAGTCGATGTGTTCAGTCCATCAAGATTGATGGACTGAACACATCGACTCCAGGTTGAGGGACTGATTACCTCATTCTCCTCCTCTCCTTACGCCTTCCTCTTTGTATTGGACTGATGAAGCCACTGTGTGGCGAAACGTTTCCTGAATAAAGATTCCCATATGCTGCATAAGTGTCTCAATCTTCAATTATTAATATTGTCTATAAATATTACAATATATTCCATGGACAGTAGAAGCTTAAACTTTCGTGAATGCCACACCCGCATCATAGTTGAAAGTTTTCGTTAATTCTTATTAATCAATCAGGATTCAGTTACATATTCAATTAACTCCCAATAAATAGCAAACTATATGCAAATGTAAAGCACAAGCATATCAAACAATTTTAAACTTTAAGCACTTCCAAATCTTCAAGCTTTTGCATTGCTATTCGCATATTTTTATATGGTAAATATCTTATTAATCAACCTACTGTACATCCTTTGGCAGAAGAGACTGCTTTATAAAGACTAGATTTGTTTATCTAATCATGATATTTTGGGCTACTACCCTCTACAGTATGGAGAAGAGGCCACAATCCAAAACAATATTTGCCTCAGGAACAATTCAAATACTGTATTAGAAATTCATTATTAACTGACAGGGGCCTGTTAAATAGGTCACTAGTGTACGTATATACATTAAATATGTTCAGCTCCTCTTCTGACTAGGAGTCAATTTGTGTACCTAGATAAAAGAAACAGAGGTCAGAAATGTGGGAAATACAAGCTGCTAAGAGACTGGAATGAGTAACAGACAAGGTCACTGCTGACCGGGAAAGAATTTCTTGATCCTCACAAAAATTTATACATTTGGAACCACTGATAAAGGCAAGAACTGTGGCATACACAATATATAACGTCACTCCTTCCACACCTCGCATTAAAGCATGAAATGTATTTCATCACATGTATGTTTTTATCAACTGAATCATGATAATTTCACCATTTTTCTTAATAAAGAAAAAGTAAGTCTTTACAAGTTTTTTAAATATCCTTTTTTTCTGACTTTTAAGGAACCTCCTTTTTGTAATATTTAGCTTTATTATTTTTCCCATTAAAATTACGTCATCCTACATAAATATTTTCTTTATGAACTATACACTGCTTCACATTACAGTGCATTACATTACCTTAAGAATGTTATTAAAATGTTGAGCTTCTTACTTGGTCAGTTATTATTAATCTTTTTTTGAAGAGTCTCCAAATGGACCCAAATCAAGAAATACTAATCTTATTATTTGAACACACTACCACTTCTAAGTTATTCAAATGTCATAAGATTTTCAAGCATTTCAGGTGGTCTTTGTATATTTTCTGAGAGAGCTTGTTGTAAGTTTGTAATCCAGGACTTTGCTGCAGACACTGATGGAGCCCGAAACTTGTATATCGTAGCCTTCGCTGGGTCCGAGAGCTGCAGTTTTGTTAAGAATAAAACTTAAAGTATAGTGAAATTAACTTTTATCAACAATATTCATTACATGCTGAAAAAAATAAACCCATTTACCCACTCATCCCAATAACATTGAACTCATAAATATTTAGTTTTAATTTTTACTCAATCCACTATATTCTCACAGGAAAGAAGGTTCATATAACACTTGGCAGTCTGAATTGTCCAAAAACACCATTTTAATGCTAATTACTTACAAAATGAAATTATCAAATTAACCCTCTGAATTACTGGATAGACAATTATGTAAACTTAAAAAACGTTACATCTGTGGCAAAAACTAGTTTAAGCATACACCTTGTCATTTACAGCATCAAGAGTTTACAGGCATGCCTTCAACTTCAAACATGGCATTAGCAGATAATATAATTGATATTACCAAGGTACAGACAGAGTCTAACCTGGAACACATCAGGCTGGGATTGTGCATCGTGGGGACCAACAAGAACCAGCTTCCCTCCTGGTCCAATGAGAGGCTGGAGTTTGCACGGAGAAGTTTTGAAGTCTGCTCGCTCCTGACCTCGAGATGTGAGGCTTTTAGGGTGATAATACACTAATGCACCACCCCACAACTGGACCTGTGAAAACAAACAATTATAAACATAACTGTATGAGCTTAAAATATTTTGGACTTGTATATCCTCTAAAAAAGCTTAAAATACTCTGGTCTTGTATATCCTCTAAAGAAGGGGTAATGATCCAAAAACCATAAACATAAAAGATAAGATAATGTCTGTAAAAGGATTCAGAGGAACTGGTTAGCTGGGCTTGCTCTAGAGGTGGGAAGTACAGTGCCTGCATGTGGAAGGGGGATGAGGATGCTGAAATTTAGAGGTCATTTGAATTGTGACATCTGTACACTTCTAGCAAGAGACTTATTGAAGTACTGATGGTGAATGTTTTTTATTTGTAGGGTAACCCTACTTTGGTGGGAGATGGCCAATATTAAAAAAAAAAAACGAAAGAAATAAATTCCAGTAATTTGTTACATAAACTTAAGTGGAGAACCTGCACATGTCAACTGCTCTATTAACCTTCACCTAATAGTTGACCAGGATTAAAATATGAAGCTGACTGGATAACATGTTCTGAAGCCATAAATGAAATCCTTAGATGGCATGAGGAAACTGTAGATAACAGATGGGCAGCTCTGGTATCATACCCTGTAGTATTTAAGGGTTCACTCAATTTAAAAATGCTATAAAAGCATGCATTTTCAATATTTATAAACTTTCTATCTGGAGTTGTATGAGTATTAAAATTTATCTACAATCCTATAAGAAAAAACTGATTTTATCTTTTTTTAACCCTTTCACTGTTTTTTTTTTTTTTTAACATGTCAGCCATTTCCCACTTTCATCATCATTCAACACTTTCACCATCACTCATACATGATAACTGTCTTTGCAGAGGTGCTCAGATATGACAGTTTAGATGTCCTTCCAAACTGCCAATATCCCAAACCCCTTCTCACTGTCATAACTCCTGAAATTAAAAGTACTGACAGTGTCACAATTTTTCAAATGAAAAAATTATCTTCTGAAATGGTAGAGAATTTTTTTTTTCTTGAAGTTAATGACACCAAAAATGTGAAATTCAATGGAAAACTTATGGAATTACACAAGTACAAAGTTGGCAGTCTGGGTGCCAATATCCCAAACCCCTCCTTTAGAGTGCATGCACTGTACTTCCCACTTCCAGGATTCAAGTCAGGTTAACTGATTTTCCTGAATCCCTTTGCAAAATATTACCTTGCTCACACTCCAACAGCTTGTCAGGTCCCAAAAACCATTCATCTCCATTCACTCCTATCTAACACGCTCACACATGTCTGCTGCCTTTCTAGGCCCCTTGCACACAAAACCTCTTTCACCCCCTCCCTCCATCCTTTCCTAGGATGACCCCTATCCCTCCTCCCCTCCAGTACAGATTTATACACCCTCCAAGTCAAGCTATTTTGCTCCATCCTCTCTAAATGACCAAACCCCCTCAATAACCCCTCTGAACAATACTTTTAGTAACTCCAAACCTCCTCCTAATTTCCACACTATGAATTCTCTGCATAATATTTACACCAAACATTGCCCTTAGACACGACATCTCCACTGCTTCCAGCCTCTTTCTTGCTGCAGCATTTACAACCCATGCTTCACATCCATATAGGAGTGAGGGTACCACTATATTCTCGTACATTCCCTTCTCTGCCTCCATGGATAACGTTTTTTGTCTTGACAGATACCTCAATGCACCACTCATCTTTTCTTTTCCTTCATCAATTCTCTGATTAGCCTCGTCCTTCATAAACCCATCTGCTGACAAATCTAATCCCAAATATCTGAACACATTCACTTCTTCCATACTCCCTCCCTCCAATGTGATATCCAATTCTTCTTTACCTAACATGTTTGATACACTCATCACCTTACTCTTATCTATGTTTGATTCTAGTTTATGTTTCTCCAGGTACAACCTGTAAATGCATGTATAAAGACTGGTACCACAGTGAAAAAGATTGAGCTATGTATTAATAATGAATATAAGAATTAAATCATCACTAAAGAAACAAAGAACAAGGAGATATGATCACGACATACAAAATATCTCAGGCCATAGACACAATAGACAAGGACAGGCTCATTTCGACACTGTAACAATAAAGAAAATACATTAATGGAAATTATAGAAGCAACTGAGTCACAGTGGAACCAAATTCCATACAGGGGTTAAAAAATATATGACAGCTATTGTGCATCAGTTAACTGAAAGTTATGACATGGGATTAAGAACTGGAGAACACACCCACCAAACTCATAAGAGGTTGTCATAGTGAGAGGATTGTTAATCTTTTTTATTTTTTTATCTTGATATAACAGATTTATCAGGCTTTTTCAATGTAACTCAGAAAAGTGCACATGTGTATATATTAAGTTTATATTGAGTAATATTTATAATGCTAGGAACTACTTCACACACACATCAGTGTGTTGTCTAATGTGCACTATTTTTTAAGAAATTTTATTTTATTTTAACGGCCATCATCCACTGAGGTAGAGCGACCTGAAAAATAAGAAAAATTTTCACCATTACTCACTTCATAATTGTCTTGGCAGAGGCATGCCAACATTACAGCTCAGATGTCCAATGAAACTGCAATATTTCTACCCCTCCTTCAGGGTGTAGGCACCACTTGCCCCTACTCACTCTTATCTTAACATGCTTGCATAAGCCTGTTTGTTGTCCAAGCCCCCCTTGCATACAAAACTTCCTTTACACCCTTCCTCCAACCTTCCCTAGGATGACCGCTACCCCTCCTTCACTCCTTTAGAGATTTATAAACCCTCCAATTCATCTTGCTCCATTTCTGAATGTCATAATTTTTATTGTTCTTTTTCCAAACCACTGCCTGATGCCTTCAAATGTAATACTTAGTCTATTTACATCTATTATGTCTCATTTCCTATAGCCTGGAAATGAAAGGGCCTTTACATTGCTCAGTTAGTATAGAAATTCTTGAGTGAAGAACAGTTTTCAAGATAAAATGCACATTTGCTAATCATTAAAAGTTCTTACCCAATATCTATGCCATGCAGCTACAGCTGGTCTACGTCCATCCTTGATGACAGTCTTGCGTCTTAGAGGTCCCTGTACCCCACACTCTTCTCCACTCACTTCAAACACAACTTCAGTATCAGAGTCTGAAGACAGACCTGACCTATAGAAATACATTTAAAACTCTGTCAGTGAACCATAATAGCAATGATACCTATGACAATCAAATTATATGCAGTTCATATACAGCACTAGAGTACTGCAAACTACAGAGCCTATAAAAAAAAATATGTGAGATTTAATCACACTTTGTGAAGTCTGTTAATACTATCAGGGATATATCTCAATACAGGTCGATCATCACTAATCTGGCAATCAGTTATCCAGTTTCATCAGTAATCCAGTACTAATTTTGGCAAGCATAATTTCAAATTTCATCATTATACTGACTCAAATTTTGTCATTATACTGACTCAAATTTCATCATTATATTGACTCAGAAATTGTGCAGATAGTTGTAAATCCACAGCAACAAGCCAGTGGAGGAGAAAGCAGTGATGATAATAAGGAAGATGTAGCAGAAAGAGTCTCTATTGATAGGCTAATTAAGTGTATTCTAACCTAACCACTGTAATCCGGCAAACTCATTAATCCGGCACACTACAGGTCCCAATGATGCTGATTAGTGATGGCCAACCTGTACACTTACAAGCATATATATTCTCTAATTCTTCAAGACAAATATTGCAAACATAAAATTCATTATTATTCTGTTTTTAAATAAAAACTACATTTCCATTAATATCAATACTTACCTTAGCTACTGTTTTTCATGGGCTTTGCCCTATACGACTCCACTTACTGAGAGAAAGGGAGGGGGTGTCCCAGACTTATTAATGTGTGTGTGTGTATTATGATGCTCTGTACTCAGAAACAAGATCCAAAGGAAAATATTGAGAAAATAATTGATTTACAACTGCTAATCTGTAGTTATGAAAATATGTCACATATTAACCTTAGCTCTGTCATTTTCTAAATGATTCACAGTTGAAACTCCAGGAATGCAACCTGTTTGTAAACTGCCCCCCTTCCCCCCATATTGACGTGCTATCACAGATTAACTAGCACTGTACACAACTGAGTATCACTCTGCATACCATGTGCGTGTGAGTGTGTGAGGCGGTGATGTGCATTCATGGTGGCCTGGCTGTGGTGGATCCAATTCAGAATCATCGAGCAAATGTCTTGATCCTTGTGATCCCTGAGCTGATGGACAACCAGGTTCATGACTTCCTAGACTATTCACAGAGTCACAGCGCATTCCTTCATTAGTGCCAGAGCAACCTTTGAATATGCTGTCAAGGAAGTACAGTATTCACTGATTACATATCAGTTTATATAAAAATTTCAATATAAACTGTCCTTTATATCAGATAGCTGTTTATTGTTAATATTCAATCATATAACATACACAAATAAATTATTACAAGTACAAACAAGAAAATGTATATGGTGCTTGTGTGGCCTCTGCAATATTAAAATTGTGAGTTAAGCCATTTTTCCTTGAACATGCCAGTGTAGAATGGTGAAGTGCTTTTGCTGGGCTTTAGCCAGAAGAATAAAATATTCTAGTGCAGGCTTCATACTGTTGAATCCTACACAAACATGGCTCACAAATCTACATTCTATAATGGACAGTGACAAGTATTGTACAAAACTGATTTTTATGAATACTGTACTTTAACAATAATAATGCAGAAACCTGATTAGTATATTTGAAAAAAAAAATCATCAATTACCCTACTCAAAATTATAACTGATTTAACAAATCCTGACCTAATAATTTACCCTGGGGGTCACTTTTTTTATGGAGTAACATTTCTACACTGAAATTTTTTAATGTTAATTTGAAGTAAACTTCTGCATGTTCACAGCCTATGGCCGGAAATTTTTTTTCATGCTGACAAGCATTGTGGGAATTTTGTTTTACCTATTATAAATGAGTAAGAATACAATACAGTGGTACAGCTGCAGGATTTGCTTAAGCCATATCAGGGATGTTTACATATAGGAACCCACTAATTTTCAAATGTTCCTAAGGTCTGCCAATAATTCAGAATTACTGTAGATAGCATTACCATCTGTTCAGACACCATACCAAAAATAACACTTAATTTCTATGAAGATAAACTTTATTTGCTGAAGCAAGCAAATAAATCTCATTCTATTTCACAGTAATACAAATTCAAGTTTTACATCACAATTACAATGAGAGGTCATACTGATAGCAAAATTTTCTGTCTTTCCTTTGGGGTTTGTAAGAAAATATTCATATACATACATGGGAATAGAAACCTCTATTAAGTATTAAAGCCATATTATTAGTATAATAAAAAAAAAGAAGAGCTAAACCTACAAGGGTCATACAGCAAAGCAGGGCAAGAAATTAAACCCATAAGGACTATATAGTGACTGGGTAATGATAGATGTGTCTTGTCTCTATGAAAGGTTATCTATTTTTTTATTTCTTTATTTTTTTGAGTAAATCAAGCAGAGCTATGCTCATGGTGTTCCCACTTCAGTATTTAATTAATCTTATAATTTAAAAAAAAAAATTCTATTAATTGTTGCCCAGTGCTACCACTTCTGGATCCATTCCTGTAGTTTACCACTCTTTCTGAAAAAAAAAAAAAGTTTTTCCCATCATTGAAATGACTTTTTTTTCTTAGTTTACAAGCATGGCCTCATGTTCTCCCTGTTGATGGTGTTAACCCGTCGACTGTTTCGGCTGTATATACACGTCTTACGAGCCAGTGTTTCTTACGTACATATACTCAATAATTCTAGTGGCTTCAAATCAAGCAGGAGAAAGCTGGTAGGCCCACATGTGAGAATGGGTCTGTGTGATCAGTGTGCACTGTATAAAAAATCCTGCAGCATGCAGTGCATAACGAGAGAAAAAACTCCGACGGTGTTTTTGGATTAAAATGCCGACTTTGAGGTGTATTTTCCTATAGTATTTATGGTTGTATTCTCTTTCTTGGTCTCAATTGATAGAATGGAAAACATATTACAGAAATAGAGATGATTTTGATTAGTTTCACGATGAAAACAACCTTGAAATTGAGTTCAAAGTAGCAGAAATGTTCGATTTTTACCAATGTTCAAGAGTAAGCAAATCACATCACACGTCCAATACATGTCAGCTGGGGAGTCTAATATTCTTTCACTAGTGCACTGATATTATGTATACCATTTTTACAATAATGCAGTAGTCTGCATAACTGAAATCTTCTATTTTTTGTGAATAAAAAATAAAAATAGAAAGCAAGAGTAATATAACAGGGGCCTGGAGACAGACAATATGTTATTTTAGTGCCAGGAATGTCTGCATTGTTTATTGTGGACCCTATTTTGAAATTGGCATCTTTTTTAATTTTCATGAAATTGGCCAAATTGCCAATTTCTGACCACTTTATTGGGTAGCTGAAATCGGTAAATGGGCGGTTTCTTGTACTCAATTGCTACAAAAAATGGAGTTCTAAAGAAACACCTGAATTTGGTTGACTGGAACAATGGAATTGGCCAAAAATAGGGCTCAAAGTCAGCGAAATCGCTGATGCGTATATATCGCCGAGATCGCTAACTTCGTGGGAGCGTAATTCCATAAGTTTGCAATCAAAGTTCATACTTTTGGTGTCATTACAATCAGGAAAAGATTCTCCATCATTTCATAAGAAAACATATTTTTTTTTTTTTTCCAAAAATTTTTCAACACCAGGAGACATTGCAGGATTTGGGGTTGCGACAGTCAGAGGGTTAAGAAAGCTTCTATGTCTAATTACAAGATCCACTGATGACCCTGTGTGGTGATATCTCCTCTTTTTTTTTTTTTCAGCCAGTGAGGGCATTTTTAGTTCTTGGTTTTTCTTCCTACCCTATTTCATTCTGTCAGATGTGGGAGCCATTTAACAGCACATAAACTGTGAACTGTTTCTAAGCATTTTGCTACACACACACAGATGAAGTGTGAGTTATAGTTTACCAGAGTAACAAGAGCTTCTCCCTACTTTATTTACGTGATCTTCTGGTGGCAGTCTTTTGTCTAGAATTATTCCTAGATCATTCCCTTTTGTCCAACTCCTTAAATATATTTTATCACAGCCTATATTCATGTGGAATGCTTTCCCAATTTCTTACTTCCATTACTTGAAAATTATCTACATTAAATTCCATCATCCATCTGTTGCTCAATTTGTCTATTTTTTTTTTCTGGGAATTGACAGTCGTTTTTTATCACTTATTTTACATAATAATTTTCCAAGCATGTGTGAGTTTGTTAAAGTAGAGTGAGTGAGACAGGTGGTTTTAAGGATTTGACATGCTGTTCAAATGTGAATAAGTAATGCTTATGAATGGATTTAAGGAAGCCATTTAGCCACATTTGAGTCTTGGATGTGGGAAGCTCACTGACTGAACCCTGAATGTTGCAGTTCAAAGGATCATTGGAACTGTGATGTCTGCACACTTCAGGCAAGAGAGCTACTGAACGAATGATGGTGAATGTTTCCTTTTTCTCGGGGGAAAGTCACCCTACTTTGGGGAGGAAAGGGTGGTGTGACTGATACAATTCTTTTGGGGGATTCTGGAAAAAAAAAAAGGTTGTAAATGTTGGTGAATGAATCTGGGAGGGTATATAGAAGAAGGAAATTAAAAGTGAACATAGAAAAGAGCAAGGTGAGGAGGGTAAATAGTAGTTTAGGCAATAACAGACTGAATATCAGACTAGAGGGAGTATGGAGGAAGTAAAGTGTTTAGATATCTGGGAGTCTACATGTCAGAAGATGGATCTATTGAAGAAGAGGTGAATCAAAGAATAGATGAAGGGAAGCGGGTAGGTGTGTTGAAGCATCTGTGGAAAGAAAATTAAACTATGGAGGAAAAAAAAAAGTATTAAGAGTACAGTGGTACCAACACTTTTATATAGGTGTGAGGCTTGGGTTTTAAATGCTGCAGTGAGATGTTAAGTTCGAGAGCAATGTGTGGTGTGAATATCATGCAGAGAATTCAGAGCATAGAAATTATTATTACATTCACTGGAAAGTGCTAAACCAGTATGGCATCATACAACACTTGGGAAATGGAAGATAATCAGGTTCTATCCAAAGAAAAGGAGGATAAGTTTGATTCCTTAGATCAAGAAGAGTGTACAGAAGGTTAATTACTCTATACCAATGTATACTAACTTGTTTTCTAATTATATAAAGTGAGATACAAGGGATCCTATCATAGGAAAATATGTTTCCTAACCCCACCCTCTGAATCCCTTTAAGGAGTGTAGGGAATATAGATCTAAATCTTGGGTATCTCAACAACAAAATACTGTACTTAAAGTTTCGTCAAGCTAAAATGGTTTGTGAACCATAACAAGTGCTGATATACAAGACATAATCCTTAGGTCTAGATTTTGTGGCTGTATTTTTCAACAAATTTAGAAGTAAAGACAACCTTATTTTATATATTATCTCTGTCCTAAAATCAGGGAGACTAATATAGATTTTGATGAGAAAATGCATAAGAGGTTGAAAAATACAGGTTAATACAATTCATCCAGGTGAATATATATATATACTTGTTTAAAAAAAAAATATATATATACATATATATACAGTGCACAAGAGACATTAATTGACAGTGACTCATAAAACTAATGTTAACTTTTCCACTTCTAGGGAGAACACAAGAGTGCATTTTGTGATTGCAGTATACATTAGAACCATGATATGTTGAGAGTTAAGTGAGAGCATCATTTTAGGCAGCTCAGCCTTTATATTATGAACAACACTTCATCAAGTACTTGCTCAGGTTGCCAGAATAATAATTTATTTTAATATACTGTATTACTCATATAGTAGAAGCAGAATAAATCTGTGATACTTTTAAACATTTTTGATGTTCTGGAAAATTTCTGAATGGTATGGTAGACCAAAGTGGATGCCAAATGTTACATTCATGAAGTGTGGTTTGTGATGCATTGGCCATTCATAGCACCCACACCATTAGCCATATATATATATACATTTTTTTTTTTTTGTTTTAACAAGTCGGCCGTCTCCCACCGAGGCAGAGTGACCCAAAAAGAAAGAAAATCCCCAAGAAGAAAATACTTTCATCATCATTCAACACTTTCACCTCACTCACACATAATCACGGTTTTTGCAGAGGTGCTCAGAACGCAACAGTTTAGAAGCATATATGTATAAAGATACACAACATATCCCTCCAAACTGCTAATATCCTGAACCCCTCCTTTAGAGTGCAGGCATTGTACTTCCCATTTCCAGAACTCAAGTCT